AATAATTTCCAACCAGACGACTTTGCCGCCCATATGTGCAACTTCTAGTTAAGTCAAATCTACTGCCTATTGCTATAATATACGTAATGAATGATACCGATACGTCTAAATTTGTTCACTTTCAGATACACTTCATAGTGAGACGTTCGTATGATTGGTTATTAATTTCAATTGAATTTTACATTATTTATACAGCTTTAAAGTACTTTTACAAAAAAAAAACAAAAAACAACATATACAATAAAATAAAAAAGATATGTATAGGATGTTTTATTAGAGTTGTAGGACTCTAATGTTAAAAGAATCTTATCTTTTTAAAAAAGTTAGAACAGTAATAACTTATTTTATCCATTGTTGAGAAGTCGCCACTATGCTAACTTTTTTAACAATAACTCTAATAAAACGTCCTATACATGTCTTTTTTATTGTGTTATTTTTGATTTTTTTTGTAAAAGTACTTTAAACTGTATAAATAATGTAAAATTCGATTGAGATTAATAGCCAATCATACGAAAACCTCTATGACAGACACTTTCTTTTGTATATGCACCATTTAAATACATACGTATAGAATATATTGTATATGCTAGTTACAATGCTGACGTGACATAATAGTTGATCAATGATTTATAATTATAATGTCAACGATGTCTGTTTTGAGAGGCTATGCGCACTGTTTATCATAAATAACTAATAATATAAATGACTTTTTTTCATTCTTATACTGCCATCTGTCAATTATTTATTCAAAATTGTATAACTGGTAGCTGATTTTCATTAACATTAATGTTATCATGTTCATAATATTGTTATTTGTTAGATTAGCGTTAGATTGTGCCGCAATAAATATTATGCGACATGTTATATTCTATAGTTAATGTGAGCCAGGACTTTTTTTCAAAAAAAAATGAGTAGAGAGAACGTGTTTGAAGAAATAATACAGATACCACTATTACAAGATGATGGAGTTAGAGGAGTTAAAATTAACATTTTAGAAGATATTTTCCCACACAATGGAGAAGAAATAACTCATATTGTTTGCTCACCGAATGTCAAATATGTCGCAACCTGGAGTAAAGATGATAAATCAATTTGTGGATGGCCAGTTATAGAAGGACAGCATCAACTAAATTATGACTATTCACTTACTGGACAGGATCTTAAAAGCTTACCGATTCGTATTACTACGAGTGATCTTAAGAATGTACCAACTCATGTCATCAATTATGTTGACGACTTTGAAGCTAGATACTCTCTAATAGATGTATCTGATCATAAACATATTGTTTTTGGATGTCAGAGATTTTGTTATGTTGGCAAGTTTAATCATTATTTTAATTATTATTATTGATGTGTATATTTAGTCAATTAAACAATTATTTGTATTTTTTAAACCAACAGAAGAATACAAGGATACCTTTTATTTTGATGAACTATATGGAATCGTTGATCTAAAAACAAAATTATTGCAAAGGTTTAATGTCCAAGGTTTAAGTAGGCTTTCCACTTATGAAGCTATCCGTTTTCTTGAAAATGGAAATTTAGTTATTGTCAAAGGAGATCCTATTTATCGAGTTTACATCTTTTCATTCATCGCCTCTAATGGTGAACATCAGTGGAAATGCATAAATGTCATCAATCTCCAAAATTTCCACAAGTGTTTCATTCTTCCGAAAGGAAAGATCTTATTTCTCACGGAGATACCTTTTGTAATTACTCAATGGGATTTGGAATCTTTAAAATTTGAAGCTCAATATGTATTAGATTTGCATATGTTTAAAGATAAAGATTATATAGATTTGCAATTGAATTTTGACAACACATTATTGGCTGTATTCAACAGAAAGCAAGATGCTGTTAATATTTATTCGACAAGTTCGAGTATAATGCTATCGAAACGTAAGCATTTTCTTCATATTCTCTGTAAATAATTATCATAGGTTCTATTATAATGTTTCC